CCTGTGCCAGCGCCTCTCCCCACCGACAAGGCTCCTGGGCCAGCTCGTCTCCCCACCATCCGAGGCTGTGGCAAGACCCGCTGGCGGAAAAGCCAAGCAGATGGCTGGGAGCCAGCTGGGCGCTGGCTTCCTCTCCCCGGCCTGGTGGGAGGAGTGACGGAGGCCCCGCTCACCACCACTGCGCACAATAAGGCCAGGCCACCGTCCGGCGTCACGGGTCAGGGCGACATCGCAGAGACCCTCGCGCGGCTCCTCGCCTGCCGCCGGCCTTCCCTGGGCTGCAGCGCCCACACGGCCGCAGGTCGGTTGAGGGCCTCCCTGCGGGCTGGGGGCTCGCAGCGGGCGCTGGGGCGGTGCGAAGGGCACCCCCGCAGGGAAGGGAGATGGCAAAGGGTGGGCGGAAGGGCCTTCGCCCGCATGGGAGGGAGCCACCGGGCCCCGCGGCAGGGTAGGGCACACTGGCACACCTCTGTTGCCAGGACATGGCGTGGGTGGGGAGATTTCGAGGCTCCCTGGCACTCGGTAGCATTTCTCCCCATGGCATCCAGGGGCCACACCGCGATGGTGCAAAACCCCAGCGTTGGCCAGGTACCTGTCGGGGAGAGGGGAATAGCAGTTGCCTCACAACCCCAAACAAACTCAGGGAGGGCTGCCTCTCGGCTTGGGACCTCTTTGGTGCACAGGGCCATGATTTTACACAGCTGCAGCCGTCGCCCCTCAGCCCTGCTCTCTGGCACTGTCCCCAGGCAGAGACCCAGTGGTGGAGGGCAGCATGGTGAAGAGGGTGGCTATCATCGGAGGGGGCAGCAGTGGACTGTGTGCCATCAAAGCCTGCCTCCAAGAGGGGCTGGAGCCCATCTGCTTCGAGAGGACTGGGGACATCGGAGGACTTTGGAGGTTTGAGGTAAACCCCACCGGCCACGTGTCCTGCTGGGGGTCAGCACTGTGGCAGACAAGGATCAGTGGCGGCTGGTGGGGTGGCATGCAGCCGGCCATGGCAGGGTCCTGGGGGTGAGGTTGAGGGGCAGGGGCTCCACACAAAGGTGAGCCAC